TATTTTTGGCAGGAAAATTGCTAACTCAAGAAGAAAATTTGGAAAGCTGAAATTTCAACGAAATATTCGCTGTTCAAGTACCGCGTGCGCAATTAACATCCCAGACTTCCAGGACCAGTACATCACACATTTCTAGCTACTGGGTTTCCGAGCGATCTCACTACGGCGCGAAATATTGCAAAAACGCATGATCACACAGGCCAGCCCGGTGAGAGTCGCCAATGATTTGAAAAGCCGCTGGCTATGTATTGGCTACATTCCGATCTTTTCCACAAGTTTTCCCGAATCACGTTTAATACAGTAATACTGCTTAAGTAACTAACACTCTTTTTTTGTATATTGTCACTATTAAAAGCAAATTTGAGAGTGCTTTTGTCGTGTGAACCATTGAGCTGGTAATCCCCTCAACACACGGAATGAACGGCAACAAAGCCAACAGGATGACCAACAGATGATGTTGCTTTGGTCAAAGCGATTGAAAAAAATTCCGTAAGGCGCAGCGCTGGGTTAATGCCTAAACGTGCACAGTAGTGCGTGCAAAAGTTTTGAAAGAATACAGCGTAGAAACTACGGATCATTTCTCACTTCGTTTTGAACCGCAAACTGGGAAATCCAGTTGTGATGCTCAACAAGAATGTGTAAAACTTCATAAATCAAACATTGCTGATTAGTTGAATAATTTTTCTTCAGTATTACTTTTTAAAAATTTCTATATACATATATATGCTTAAAAAAACTCTGTGCTATTTTCATCTAATCATGCTTTCAAAAATTGTCTTAGAAATTTTTTTTTATGCTTCAATTCATTTTGAATTCATCCTCTCAGTGCGTATTTGAATTTACAGTCACAACTCATGTAATATTTGTAATAATCGTCAAAAGTCCGCAACCGCTATTTATGTGAAATGCAAACACACGAAAATATTTCGAGAAAAATACCAACAGTAACCATTTGGAAAAATAAATGTTTTATTGTTTCTGGCCTTTTTCCATCTCATAAACAATTGAAAATATTCTAAAATTTTCTCACCCGCATTCTTAAATCAGGACGCAAGAAAAGCTAAAATGTAATTTGTTTCCAAATTTCGAGCTGAGTTTCTGTTCAAACTAAAACGTTCGTTCGAATCTGAAACTCTATCTTAAAAAAAACCAGAAAACGCCTAAAATGAATTTAAGCGCGCAACATCGTACAAAATAAACAATGTCGATGAATACTACTGAATTTCGCAAATATGGCAAAGACATAATTGATGTGGTATCGGATTACTGGGATACAATCCGAAAACGAGAACCACTACCAGATGTGCAACCTGGATTCATGCGCCCACTAGTACTCTTTTTTCATTATTTTGCTTTTAAAAAAGGTAATAGTTGCTAATTAAAGATATGCAGCCCCAGACCGAAAATAATAAAAGAAAATAATTTTTCACATTTATGTCACCACAAATCTCTCCATATGCACTTTTTGGGCATTTCAGTACCGTCATTAACATGGGGCACCACACAGACTGCCTGAGTCACTGAAAGCATTTCAATTTTTTCTCCAAAACTAAATTCAAATAATAACTTTAAGATACCGTATGATCCACCGATGGAAGGTCAGCCGTGGGAAGAGATCTTTAAAGATCTTGAAAAAGTGGCCATCGGCGGCAATACTCACTGGCAGCATCCAAACTTCTACGCTTACTACCCCACTACCTGCTCATACCAGGCCATTATGGGCGATATCCTAAGTGGCGGACTTGCCAGCATTGGATTCAGCTGGGTAAGTTGTACGGATTTACAATACCAACTTATTTCAATTATAATGAACAAAAAGTGATTTTAGGAATGGCAATGGGTAGGGGAAATAATAAGTCTTGTTTTGTTAATAATATTGGGAAAAAAATTATAACTACGTTATATCATACAGTAGAGAGGGAGAAAAATGAAAAATTAGTAACTGTAGAGAATTTAAGCCTCATTCCACTGAGGCTACATTTCTCTCTAAACGCTAGAAGTTCACTTGTAAATAAAGGTGCTCTGAGGCAAAGGCACTTGGAAGTAAGCAGAACGTGCTGGCAAATGTCGAGTTTAGAGCTCATCTTAGACCAGAAGTAATTGATCTTTTATCTTCACCATCTCCGTGTATTTCGAATCGTGACGTGTTGTTCGTTATTCTACTGGCTTCTGTGCTTCACGTAGAAAGCTGGATCATTTATGTCTGTAAAATTGATACTCGCATACGTACTGATCTAGACTGCCAAGCGCTGCTTTTGTATGCAGCACATACTTTCTACTGGCGGCTTTTCATGGGACTTCTTTCTGTAGCAAGCTTATTAAAAGCTCCTACTTTTTAGAGGCAGATTTTTAGTTGACTTGTTTTCTTGGCATGCTCCAGTACTAATTCACAGTCAAAGCAAATGGACGGGACATGAAAGGGATTTGCTTATTCAGCATGAAAGTATTCGATGTAAATGATTCGGTGCACTAACATAGCGTGCGCTCACTCCGGGATTCTTTTGAAAACTCGTATTACAGAAATCTTCTCCATCGATGACGGAACTGGAAATTTGTGTGTTGGAGTGGTTAGCGAAGGCACTTGCGTTACCGAAAGAGTTACATGGTGAATCCAGTATCGCAATAATCCAGAATACTGCAAGTGACGCTACCTATGTTGCCATCCTGGCTGCTAGAGGACGAGTGACCGAGGTACTTTTTTCAAATAGTATGTTTCTACTTTTCCTTACTTTTATAACAACAAAGAAAGTAGGCAAGGGTGTCAGATTAACCTGTACCAGAATGAGTCCTTCTCTTATTTCAAACCTGTATGCTACGCATCAGTGCGTGGTACCTGCGAGAAAGCTATTGACCGGTCCCCGAAGAGGAGGTGCACACACATCAAACAGATTATGGGTACTGAATGACTGTACATTCGCAACCCAGGATGGAAGGAGCCTTCGGCTGGATAAAACAATGCCGCCGCAGGGAGTAGGAGAACCCGAAGTTCTTTTGTGAATTGAGACATTACTGTAGAAAAACTACCGTATTTTAACAGCTCACTTGATTTTATTTTTTAACTCATCACCTTGTTTCATTGGCTGACTGGCCATGCCGCCTCCTCTCTCCCGATCTGTTTTTCTGCTCGCACATATTGACATTTGAAAAGAAATGAAATTTCTAGCGGATCAAAGTTCAAGAGAAGGCGGTCGAATATCACGAAAAAGAAACGGTAATTACGGATGATGGAGTAGATATTGGCAACTTATATCATTACCCATATCATGATCCATCGATCATGACGAAGCTTGTTGCATATTGCTCTGATCAGGTTTCATTTTTTCGATACTTTTTGATTAGCGCGATTGACATTCTGTTTCTCTAACTGTGCACTTCGCAACTCCCCAGTTGCCTTGACCAAGGCTACGCGGCCCAGTGGTCATTCTTGCTGGCAATCCTGACATCTGTGTCTTTGAGGCATGATTTAACATTAATGCTGTTTAAAAACAGGTAAAACGTTTTTTTTTTTCTCACGGCAAAATTTTTTATGCCGGAATCGAGCGACCATAAAAAAGTCTTCTAGGGAAATACAAAACGCTAGCATATGTATCAGTTATTTATTGTTGTGTCTCCTAAAATTTTGCTTACCCATCCATTTTTCTCGTTGTCACATTTTTTCTCGTCGTTGATGCAGTTGAAAACTTCTCCACTGCTCTTTGATTTGGGCCGCCCTCCCCCATAGTTCCAGAAAGCTGTTCGGACGGGTCTTTTAATCGCATTGGTGGCCTTTACTCTTCAAAAACGTCACTATTATGGGAGCCCAAGACGACAGTTCGAGCGATCTTGGTGTTCTTATTATATATAGTTAAACAGTTACAGGCTCATTCATCAGTGGAAAAAGGAGTAATGCTAGCAGCAGTGCGTCTTCGAAAGTTAAGATCAGTTCGAGGCGGCCTCTTTGATAATTTTTGCGTTACACCGGAAGTACTCGAAGCTGCAATCAAGGTGACTGAATCGATGCGAAAAAAGAAACACGCATTTTTTCAATGACTTTTTGCGTATATGCAAATGCGAAAACGCATATTGCGACGACCCCAGTATGTGTATGTGTGTATGTGTGTGTGAGCGTGTGTGTGTGAGTGTGTGTGTTTGTGTGTCTGTCCGGGTATTTCAACTCGGCACCCAAACAAGCTCCGGCGCCAAAATTTTGCGGGTGGGTTCCCCGGACAAGTGCCACCCCAGGACCGCGGTACCAATCCTCAAGCACGTCTAGGCTCCACGTACGAGCGCCTCAAATTTGTGGCGGGGAAATCGCTAACTTGGGAACCTGAAAAGCTAGAAAGCTGAAATTTTGGGATTATGTTCCTCGTCCTTATAGAACTCAAAGATTTTAAAGCTCCCAGGTGTGCGAGTTTCCTGCGTACGGCCCAGTGAGGGTTCCTGGCGCGAAAATCGCTAGCTCGGGAACCAAGAAAGCTGGGAGGCTGAAA